ACTTAGGAGGCCAGAGAAGGTTTACTTAATAAATTATTTAGTTATTGCCAGTTTATTATCAGAGAATTTTGGTATAAATGATTATCAAAAAGAGTTAATGATTTGTATTAAAAAAAATATTTATTATATATTAAAATAATTAATAATATTATTAAAATAATAATATTTTTTTATATATATAATTTTTGAATAAATTTAACTAGATTTCCATATTTTTTACAAGCATTTATATGTATATAAAATTGGTGTGTTATCAGATTGTTACAAAAACTTTCAATTTCTTCTTTATATTTTAAAAAGTAGATTTATAATATTTGAATTTATTTTCATTTTTTTCTATAAAGAGTAATAAATTTTCTTTAGTAGAACTCAATTCTTGTATATTTTCATTAACATAAGGTATAAATCTTAATAATAATAAATTAAATAATATAATTTCATTATTTTGTTTTACTTTTGGTTTTTCATATTTCAAGTATATTTTATAAATAAATTTATTTGTTAAAGCAAAATAAAATAATGATTTTTTATCTAATAAATCAAATATATTAATAAATATTTCAATTGGTATTTGATCCATTTGAAAATTATTAATTTTATTCAAATAAATAAATAATTTTTTATTATATAAAAATTAAATCTGTTAATGAAATAATAATATATTTATATTTTAAAATAATTAATAATATTTGTTATAAAATTAATAATAATAATTTATATAAAATGTCTAAATTTTTATTATTATTAGAATACTTATCATTTAGTAACATGAATATTTTTTATACATCATTTCATTGTTTAAAATATTTAAATCAATTTAAATGTAAAAAAAAAATAAAATTATCTAAAAAAGAATGGGAAAATTTATTTAAAGAAAATTTAAAAGAAAGTCCTATATGTAATTTGAGTAATTCTAAACACTTTAGATGTAAAGAAATAGATTGTATTCAATGTTGTAAGTTGGATAAATGTAATTCTTATCCTTGTAAATATTGTGAAGAAAATAATATTGAATGTGAATATAGTATTATTAAAAGTGAAAAAGAATTTAAGAAATTTCAAAATTTAGGATTAACAACATATGTTGGACAATTTGAAAATAATGAAAATGGAAAAACAAATGTTCGTAGTTATTGTCAATTTAATAAAAAAATTACAATTAGGAATATAAAAAAATTATTTAATAATAATTTTATGCATATATCTAATAAATTATTTAGTAATATAGAGTCTTATATATTATATACATCAAAATTATATAATTGATGTAAAGTATATGAAAAATATAAATGTAAATGTGATTATAATAATATTAATCATCAATGTAGTGTATGTAATAGTAATTGTTCTATTAGAACAATTGCAAGAGTAGATGGTCCTTTTAAATTTAGAATTTTTAATAATTAATTATAAATTAAATATTTTATTTAAATTTTTTTTATTTAATAATATATAATATAATAGTTATTATTTTATTTATTTATTTTTTTTTTGGTATTAAGGTGAGGCCTTGCTTATATCTTTATTAATAATTTAAAATAGTTACATATATATATGC